ACAAAAACGTATAAATTGTCAGATATAATCATTATCGAGCTATTTAAACATTGTCTAATTCAATGTCTTGCAACTGTTTTACTCCAGATTCTTACACAAAGGATTTGACATAGCGACGTAAATTAGAACTTTTTCGTAACCTTTATTTTTTCTTTCCACAAATCAATTAGACACATTTGACAGAACAAAAATGGGAAAGAATCTTTATGTGCAATGGAACAATTTCCAGTTAAAGCATCTGAGAAATGATGTTATTTCCTCATAGAATAGATTTGGAAGGGATAGGAGCTCTTCACTATGCGGACCGGCTTGTGCGATTGTAGACAAGACCAGATCAGCGAAGATGGATGCTTTACAAATAAAGGGTAGGCAGACACAGGTTTATGAGGTTGGCTGGCTTGATTTTTATAATTCTCAATTATCTTTTAGTGTTATAGTCAGCCAACACACATAGGTACTTTCTACATAGGAGGTCGGGATGTTGACTATCTTTATAATATATTTATTATTATATATATATATAATATATATTTAGAAGGAAGAGGAGCAAATATGGGTTAGGCTTGTGTTACCAAGCCCACAAAAGTTGTGTTGGTAGTGATGTCGTAATCCCCTCACTCATCAAATATGGGACATCATTCACATGGGTAGTGAGAGTGGTAATAGGGATGTGACACATCACTACAAGCACAAAATTTCGTGCTTGTACCAAGCATAACCTTTTTCATTATATATTATATATAATATATATATATATATAAATATATATATATATATTCAGCATGAAATTTTTAGCACAACTTATGAATCTAAAATGATTTCATATTGGTAGCTTTTATGTGGTATAACAAGCAGTTAAATTAATGCAAGGACAATACCACCATAAAGTTTATTATTTGGTCCATAATAGCAGCACGTGTACATCTAAATATAATTGTTGCAAGTCTGCAAAGACATGACAAATGATATAGAGTGTGATGATTGTGGGGGGGGAGGGGGAGGGAGGAGGCTAAACAGATTTTGAAAATCAACTTCTTAGATTACATAATGTACATAATCAGGAAGGCATGCATAAAAAAAATTTCATAAATAGACCAAGTAATTCTTTGACTATGACAATGCAAACTAGTCCAGATCATGATGCAAAATTCAAGCCAGATGGAAGTATATATACCACATCTTGTTTACCGTAGTCAGATTTACATGCAACTACAACTTCTTTTCCAGTCTCTTACTGGATTTTTTGAATGCCTGACTTATGCTCTTAAATTTCCAGTGAGGCATTCTCTTTGGTTATCTTCTGCTTTTTTACCTTTTCTTTAAACTCTCTCATCAATCAGCTTCTTACAGGTTCATCTACCAGTGATGTCTGCCCTGTCCTTCAAACTGAATCTAACCTGCTTCTTACTAAAAATTTAACTTGAATAATGGTATTCTGTCAGCATTACTATAGTCTTGCATCGTAAGCATAAGACAGCACAACAACAATTTAGAACTACATTCTATCTCGTCAACCTTGTTCCCGCCATATTTCATATGAAAATAGCAAAAATATAGCCATAGTTAGTGTTGCAACTCATAAACATGACAATGCCAGAAAGATTTGAGTATGTTCATTCCCATTGACCTGTTCTAGTTCGATTGGATATGGTTTGGTCTATCAACCCATCCTCCCATAGAAAAAGCATGAGAACATGAACATGTAGAAGAAGCATGAAAATATCACACATGAGACACATGAACATGTCGAAGAAGCATAAACATACCAAACATTTCAAAGTTGCTGAAGAATTCCCCTTGAACCAGAAGGAATAAGCTAAAGTAACTGCATGCAAACAACATGGTCAAAAAGCTTGGTAAACTCAATAATAACTTTTTACTTTGTAGATTACTATATCTTGAATTGTTGGTTAAATTCTATGCTATTTTATGTTTTCTATATCAGTCCATTTCTAGAGTGAAACAGAAGAAATTTATGGCAGAACATTGATGTGCAGCAGGTTTCCAGGAAGAGGTCAGAACTACATAATAATAATAATAATAAAATTCTAAGCATACTTGCACTTTGCAAATCAATTCTGAAGTTCATTCAGGGTCATTGAAGAGATTGAATATACATACACATTAAACCAATGACATAATTGGTATAAACTTCCCTTAAAACCAAGAATGGGTTATACTTGATCCCATTGAAATCAGATTCCACAATATAAAAACACAAATCAGACTAAGGGTACTTGCAATTTGCAAATCATTCATGAAGTTTAATCAGGATCAGTGAAGAGATTGAATATGCACAAACATTAAACCAATGACATAATTGACATAGACTTGCTTGACATAATATCAACGATGGGATATACAGGACTCATATGAGACCCCAGAAGACGTGAGACGATTACATGAAAGGTTAGAGAATATGTTCCTCCACTAGGTTGAGTAAACACAATGGAGGCGTGGAAGCCCCATAGAAGGACCACCAAGAAATAAAAAAAATATGGCATTGACAGGGAAAAGTCCCTCGCAATGTGATAGTCCAGAATCCTCTCAGCCATGCGAACAAAGAATGCCAATATTCACACACTAGAATTAGAAATAAAACTGCTTGAAGACCATAAAAAGAAGGGAGGAACCTTCTACAAAGTAACATCGTTGAGCGTCAACATAATGTGAATAGATAATACAATTATGCTTCAAACATAGCATTCAAAATGGTAACTATGCACATAAATCAGGTAAGGTTTGGCCCACCCAACTTGAGCCCAAGTGGAAGATTGTTACCTAGGTTGGATTTTGAAATTTTGAGTTGAAGCTGGACTTACAAATCTCAATGTAAATTGAACTTTGGTAACAACTTAGCTCGTCACCAACCTACATCAAGCCTTACCCAATTCAGGTGTTTGCGCGTATGACTCTAAATCAAGACTTCCCCAACCCTAATGCGAGCTTCGTCCAACCCAAATGTCTGTGCCATGTGTTTGTCTGTTGTGTATTGCCGTGTTGAACCTAACCCAAGCCTTACCTAACCAGAAAGTGAGAGACTCAACCAACCTAAATGAATATATCAGTTATCTGAGAGTAGGTAACTAATGACCAAATGAGAACAAAAATACAATGTCAGTAAAAGGTACGCCATGATGGCAATAAGCCAAGAAGTGTACCAAAAAACCCTGAGCAAGCATATCCATAGACCTTGCCTAACAAAGACCCAAGTACACCTAGCAAATATCCTATTAGGCACCTGATTTTGTTCAAGGCATGTGCAGAAGATATCTAAAAAGGCCCAAGCTTAAACAAGCAGGGAAATAGTTAAGTATAATTACCAGACTAGACCCACACCATTGGATATGCATGAACTACATAAACCAAGTAAGTCAACATGCGTAGGATGGAAACTTCAAATAATCTATTGGATAACACTTCAAAAATACAAAAATTACTACTCATTGAAGAAACAAAAAAGCCTTAGACAGGTAGATAATTTGCTTTTCCAATGAAGGAAACAAACTTTTAGTAAATAATTTATTGAGAAAGGTGATCACCTAAAGCAAAAGCCAATATATTTGGAAGAGGCCGCGTGGAGTAGAACAGCAAGTGAAACTGCAGAGCCGCTGTTATGACAAAGAAGGCTTCCACATGGCGACCAAACTTGTTTCTAACCTGTTTAATTTGAATTAAATATTGAAGGAAGTTGGAAAAGTATAGCACCTGAATTTGAAAGTAGATATGGTTTCTAAGAAACTTAATGGGTGCATATGCTAAAGCCTAGTGATTACAGCTAAAATTGTGAAATGGCTTAATTGCACTTAAATGCCCTATAGTTTCCCCTATATGGCACTTACATATCCTCACTTGTTTTTGGTAGCAATTATATACCCTAAAGTGCTCATCACTTTCAGTTATATACCCTCACTTGTTTTCTCAGCAATTATAAACTCTAAAGTATTAAAAACTTGCACTTAAATACACTTAAGTTTATAAAATTGGCACTTAAATACCCTAATGTTTTTAAAACTTGCACTTAAAATACCCTCAACTTTGCATAACTGAGGGTATTTAAGTGCAAGTTTAAAAAACTTTAAGAGTATTTAATTGCAAGTTCTAAAAATTTTAGGGTATATAAGTGCTGCCAAAAAAAAGTAAGGGTATATAAGTTCCAAGTTTAGAAAACTTTAGTGCATATAAGTGCTGCTAAAAAGCAAGTGAGGATATATAAGTACAAGTAGGGAAACTATAGGGTATTTAAGTGCACTTAAGCCTTGGGAATTTCTGTCTAGGAAGTAGTTATGGATAAATGATTCTAAAAGCATCACAACCACTGACCACTTTATTCAATGTGCTCAAGGTGCACTCGCTGTAAAATATTCAAATCAGAGAAAACAAAGATAATGTTGTCCATGAAACTACTTCATACCAAAATCTACACCTTCAGCCAAAAAAAAAATTCCAATATATGTACAATTTCCCTTGATTAACTCCATCGTAAATTGGCCTGTAAGATTGTTGCAGCTTCCAAGATCAAATGAAGTCATTTTTCCTTCTTTAGTTGGATACTTTCTGATACTATTTCAGAATTAAGAGATCTTGATTAAATCCTACTTAATGTAATCTGCATGAATTTCTCAATGTTAAAGGAAAAAACTGAAGGCCTGCTGACTGTCTCTGACTGTGTCATGGAAAGCCAATCTCATGAAGTTGCCATGACTGGAACATTCAGCAACAACTTAAAGATTGATGTCCTATTAAAGCTGATGGTATATTGTGGAGCATGCACTTAGCCTTATGATCTCAATTTGTACTGAACAAGTTTGCTAGCTTAGTTAAAGCAACTGGATGTTGGTTTGCTATAGTGCAAATCTCAATCTCAATTACCTGAACAGTATATTGATTTGAAATTTTCCTAAAATTTAGGCTTACTTAGTCTGATGATATTTTGAACAATCATGCTTTCAGGAATTAAATCATTATGCAGCAGTACAAGTCACAGGCCACTGCCAGTAGGTTTCTATGATTAATAAACTGACTATTGTGTTAGCTGACCAGGAAACATTAACAGGTTCTCAACAAACAGTAACAGCTGGGGCTAAAGCAGATAAACTTAAAGACTAGAAAAAGTACTAATAAAATGATTTTTAACTACAGAGTGAAGAGTTAAACAATTAAGAACAAGAAAATTGAAAAGTCTAGCCATGAATCTTAGAAAATAAAATATAAGATCTCTCCTGATCTCTAGTTACAGATATAACAAGATAGAAAGGACCTAGGCTGTGCTATCAGCAGAAGCAGCCAAATCTTAAACCAATAAATATTAAAAACTAAAAAGATGAGGTAGATGCAATGATGCCACGTGGGGAAGGGAGTAAATTTAGCTTGAACAAAAACAGAAACGATGAATGAAACTTCAGCAGTACACTAGTATTGTAGGAAAAATGAAGGTCAAAACATAATTAGTAGTTCAGATCCATTAAAACTACTGATTGCAATGCCTTCGATCAATATACAAGAGAAGAAAGAAATAAGATGTAACCTAAGAAGGTTGCAGTTAGATGGCTTAGGAAAAAAAATGCTTATCGAGTGTCATTAAAGATTTTAAACAAAGTCTTTATGATGAAGAAACCATCAGTATGAAATGGATCTGAATGTGAAATAAAAGGCAACTGAAAGAAACAAGATCAGATAGATAGAAGTCTAACTCTTGAGAAATAAGTCAAACTGCTTTTTAAATATCTAATTCTGACACCATATTCCCATAGGTGAAAGAATCTTTAAGTTGCCCCCAGACAGTTGAAATAGATTTTGTGGTCAAGGAAGATGATAATGCCACAAAGTTACTTTTTTGTTAGTAACGTATGATACCCCACATTCCTAGAATCCACAATGGGTTTCCAAATTACCCATTGCATAATCAGTATCTTCTCATGCTCAAAGCACTCAACGATGCAATTTGACTAATGTTGAAAACGGTGAATCCCTAAGCTTATGCAAGATAGATTCAATTCATTGATTCCATGTGGTTAATTGGCAGAAAAGAAGTCAAAGAGAGTTGTGGCAAGGCATATGTCGCTTGTGACAATAAGGTCAAAAGTTCGAGTTACGATTCCAATCAGAGAAAAACAAAAAAACTGGTTTCTTACATTCTGATAATTGAAGAAGATCCAAGCGCATAATTCTAGTCACTTTCAGCTATTTATGAGTTATAAATACACTCCTGCTAGTCATTCTTAGATTAAAAACATGACATAAGGTTGCTTGTGACAATAAGGTCAAAAGTTCAAGTTACGATTCCAATCAGAGAAAAACCAAAAGAACTGATTTGTTACATTCTGATAATTGAAGAAGATCCAAGCTCATAATTCTAGTCACTTTCAGCTACTAATGAGTTATAAACACACTCCTGCTAGTCATTGTTAGATTAAAGAAATGACATATGGATGGGCATGAAACATAGGTTTTGGAACATGAATGAAAATTCTCACAGTAAATCTAAGTGGATGTGATTAACTGGCAAAATCAAATAGGTTACTGAAGGGGATCCTCACCCAGATAACATAGCTAATTACCATATCCAACTACATAAAGATCAACTGATCATAAAGGCATAAGTCAATGATTCATTAAAAAAAACTTATGATGCCGACAACCACCATGTGCTAGTCCAATAATGTTCTCCATTGGGAGGATATCTCCTGAAGTTGTTATTAAGAGGTGGAAGCATATAGTTTCCTACACAAATATTGATAAGAATAAGAAATACTTTATGAAGATCCATATATTTTAAATCTTTGCTTTATGAGTTATACAGATCTCTTTTTCACTTATGCATAACTACTTTCAATTATGCGAACATGCAAAATTTGGGTGCAAAAGATGGAAAACTCACCTGAACCCGTAATAATCGAAAGGCTAATAATACTGTGCAACCTAACACCAGCCGAACTATGATCGCAAGAAAAAATGATTAATTAGTTTATATTCTTGCAAGGGAAAAAGAATACACATAGTTATAAAGAGAAATACCAACTTTCTTTGATAGAAAGTACTAAATTTTCTTATGAGACAAGCAGACATCAATTCAGGTATACTCAAGAAGTCCTGATTGCAGGACTACGGAAACAGGATACAGCCACGACATGACTCAGTTGTGTCACAGACTGAAAATATAAGGTACGAATATATTGTTGACTAGGCAATCACATTATGTGTGAATCAACGTTATTTCCTATAAGATGGCTTTGCGAAGTAGTAATATTTAAAAACCGCAGTAACTCGAACTATATAAAAGATTTCAAATAATAAAAATTAATAGCTAAAGGGAACTCTTCTTCTTTGTTAAAAATGTGAATATTTCTTGCACTAAAATTTGTAGCTTCCCAGTCACGAATCCACATATCCCTCATATATGTTTGGAGATCTTGCGTCATAAAATTTTAAATATATCATACGAGTATAGAGAATATTCATGACATGTACATTCGGTCGGATCCAACTTATTCTTGAAATGTACAACCACACACTCCCTTTCAACAAGAAATCAATACACCAAGCACTACACTTGACTTAAGTTCGAGAAGTTTAATGTATGGAGAGAAGAGAAAGGAAACGATTGTCCTTGTCAGCTCCAATGATGGTCTCATCATCAAGAGATCAGAGGGAGGGGAGTCGAAGGTGAAGCTCAACAAAGGGAGGAAAGAAGAAGAGAGTCGACATGAGTCTGTGTCGATGATGTTGTCATGGACAAGAGGAGGAGACACTATTTAGAGGAGAGAGTTAGGGATTAGGACGGAGGGGAGAGAGTTAGAGATTAGGACGGAGGAGAGAGTTAGGGTTGTTCGGGGTTAAGAGAAGTGTCGATTTGTAAACCAAATAACAGATTTACACTTCCATTCAAATTTCAAGGTAACCATAGTAATGATTTAAGTGAACATATCATAAAAAAGTTTACATACATAAGTAATATGAGATATAAAAATACCAGTGATGAGACTGTAAATCTTCGGCATGTGTAACAAATGCAACAGTAATACCATTGGTGATGCCAAAGTTGATACAAAAATGGCCCCTGGTTGACAAACAAGATTTAGCAGTATGGTCAGTACCTGATAACCGGAGCATATCCTAACAAGATAGAGCTCATTTTTCATCAAATAATAATCAATTGAAAGCATGCAGTAGCTGTAACTTTGTAACTTTAAATAAAAGCCTTTAGCCTTAACATTAATGTAAAAATCTAACAAAGTGATGGCGAACAGACTGAGAGGACTCCGAGTCAAAAAGATTCTCCATTGATCATTCAAGAATAGCAAGGGTATGAAAGATCATGGGTGCCCATTGGATCGTCAGAGGGGCTGATTGAGAAGAATATGGACTGGCATCGGTCACGTGAATAGTGATCATGAGGTACTGTTCACGTGAGCAGTATCGAAAGAAATGTCTTTTTGTTTGGATGGCAGTCAGGGGATTATATTGAGGAGAGGATTTTGAAAGAGCTTGAACAAAAAACTAATTTGGCTTCACGCCTAACAACGCACATTCTTCAAAGTGAGGTTTTCTCAAACACAAAAATTATCATTCATCAATGTCCATCCTCCAAATAGAGATCACAGGTTATTTATAAAAGAAACCTAATGCACTACGGATAACATCAAATAAACTCCATAACTAAAAGATATCATCTAAAGAAAACAAAAAAACTAACAAAATATGAACTAAAGTTGCAACTTTATTATCCTAACTGAAAAGATAAAATATAATATCTTAACCAAAAATTTAAATCTAATCAACCCAAATTTTGTAGGCTGTCCCGCATCAAAAAGATTAATTAATCATGAAAGATATATTTCCTTTTCTCCTCTGAACAGAATAAAAAACTTATATGCGAGAAAATATACTCTCTAAGGGAACATCAGATTATCATCTTTGACCTTTCTCATGGTTGAGAGTTATCGTCATGAGTTTAATCTTTGACCTTTCTCATAGTTGAGAGTTAACATCAATCGTCGTGAGTTTAGTCCTACATTGGTTAGATACAAGTCTATTTGTATTGCACATTCTATTAATAAAATCCAATAGAGAGCAAATTAACTCTCTGATTAACCTGAAAAATGCAGTAGCGTAAGAACAGACACTTACTAGAGATGGCTCTCTAGCTCGTCTCAAGGCTCGACTAGTTGCGAAGGGACTCAGAGATATATAGGCTGGCTTATCTAGACACCTTTTCTCTTATAGCAAAGATGATGTCAATTCAAATTATTATCTCCCTTGCTGCTCGGTATCACTGGCTTTTATAGCAGTTGGACGCTAAGAAATATCTTTATGGCTTGAAGCAATCCCCACAGGCCTGGTTCAGACATTTTGTAGCAGTAATTTAGAAGTTTGATCTTAATCGAGCTCAAAAAGACCACTTAGTACTCTGGAGACTTCACGGTAGGAAATGAATACTTTAGATTGTATACGTTCGCGATATTGTGATCATTGGATATGATGCACAGGGCATCAATTGTTTGCAAGAGTGTGTACAACAGTAGTTTCAGACTAAGGATCTTGGACCCTTGAAATGTTTTCTAGATATTGAGGTGGCTAGATTGAATAATAAAATGTTCTTATTTCAGAGAAAATATGTGCTTAATATGTTGTCGAATGCTGGGATGTCAGAATGCAAAGGCACTGACTCACCTATGGATGACAAGATCAAACTACTATTGGACCAGGGAGAGTTCTTGAGAGACAGTGAAAAATACATACAATTTATAGGGAAGCTAAACTACCTAAAAATTACTAGATCAAATATTGCATTTTCTATCAGCATAGTGAGTCAGTTTCTCTCAACAACTACGGTACCTCACATAGAGGCTGTGAAGAGGATTCTTATTTATCTTAAGAAAACTCAAGGAGGGAGCCCTTTATTTATATAGTGGTCACAAGGGAGTTGCAAAATTCTCATATGCAGTTTGGACAATGATCTACGTTTGACAGGAGATCGATTATTGGATATGGTGTGTTTCTTGGCGAAATCTAATTTCATGGAAGAAGAAAAACAAAGTGTAGCCTCTCAATCTATAGTTGAGTCCAAGTATTGAGTCATGGCGAATCTAACTTGTGAGTTGATCTGGGTTAGAGACATATCAACAGAAATTGATTTTCCTTTGAAGCATCACATGAGCCTGTATGGAGACAATAAGGCTGTCATTCACATAGCTTAGAATCCAATATTCTATGAGAAGACAAAGCACATAGAGGTTGATTGCCACTTGATTCATGAGAAGATCAAGAAAGTGATCATTAGAGCCAAGCACATACCATCAGAGCATTAACTTGCAGATATTCTCACAAAACCTCTTGGGAGAACACGAGTCAACTTTATTTGTGATAAGCTAGGCATGTATGATATGTATGCTTAGCTTGAGGGGAAGTGTTGAAAGCTATTGTAGTAAGTTTAGTCCTACATTGGTTAGGGATAAGTCTAGTTGTATTCCTCATTCTATTAATAAGATCCAATAGAGAGAGAGCAATTTAACTCTCTGATTAACCTAAAACACCCATAAAAAAGGAGTCGACTCTGGAACAAACACTCACACAAGATTTAATAAAGATTTATGATCAGCTGACATCAACGCCTTGGAGCCAAACTCATGGCATGCAAAGGTCAGATATGAGAAATTAATACATTTATCAAATGAAATCTATTAAAATTGTGTCATACGCTAAGCGATACATTAAATTACCTAAAGTAACAATGTCTTAGCAAAAACAATCAAATAATATGACAGATACCAATATTAATATTCGTGTACGTATCTCGATGCACATGAGATTAAGCAGAATGTTCACGACCATTTACCAATAACCATTTACTGCTTAGCACAAAAATAATACGCAAACGAAATTTCTATATCATAAAGAAATCTTGACCAAACCAAATATGCAATTCAAATGTGATATGAAATTCTAGATACATATATACCTTGTACTGCTAAATATGCAACATTCTCACTTAATAAAGTAAAACTACGAAGTGTTAGTCTGAAAGAACAATTAACCAAAACTTGAGAAGAAAGTAATTGCATCCCAAGCAGTATGATGCCCATTACATCTAAGCACCTTTGTATCATGAAAGATTTAAAGATTTACCTAAGAAAGTACGAGAAACAACACCAGGAAAATCCAAATGGTCATACTGTGACAAGCATATCAAATGTTAAGGAATAAAAAGCAGAGATCAAAGCATTATTAAGAAAGGAAATAGAGAATATAAAGGGCCATACACCAACTTAAAGTAAATGGAAAAACTTGCCTTCTCTATGTGGTATCGATGGTAAAGAATATCATGCATTGCCTGCAAGAGAAATGCAACAATTTGCCTGTAACAAAATTGAAACAATACAGAAGTCCTATGTGAATAATGAAAGGTAAAATTCTGAGAATGCATTGGCACTATATAATAAAAATGATGCAGGAAAGCTATTACAATAGTAATACCTTTACAGACAGTAAAAAGAACACAAACAGAAAAGCAATGGTTTTTTCATCAATTAGGAAACATGTAGTTCTCTAAATACAACAACAAATAGATCGCAGATGGACTTCTGTGAAGCAAGATAAACTCTACTATGATGTAAAAGATGACACAAATGTAAAAATAAAACTTTTCGTCATGCTAGAAATGCTTCAGGAAAAAGAAAAAGAAGTTTAAATCTTGGGAGAACAGGCATCAATACATGTCTGTCATGCTTAATTATGGTTTAGAAGATTGATACTGCATTTTGTCATCTTGATCAGTGACTAGCTTCAAAATAAGGAACTTACTCAATAGTCACTAACCCTTTCTAGTTATGTTAATTATAAATAATTAATAGAAGTATTAGATCTCACCCTTGTATTGAAGTGGTTTTGATTTTCCTTTTGCATTAACTGATGTTTTTCGACAATAGAGCTCAAGGATGCAGTTACTAACCTATGAATACCACTTACATTCGGATTTTCTTAATGAAGCTTCTGTTTAAAATTTATATCAGACCGATTAAAAGTATTTCGTGAACAAAGATCCTAGAAATTGGACGGACTCTACACAAGTTGGTCAACAATATATCCAAGAAGATGACAGTTCAATTTAAAAGTTTGTGTCATATCATGAGTAATTCTCCAAAGCAATATTACAAAAGGTGTTTGACGCCTCAAGGCGGCGTTAGCACTTAGTCCTGCATAGTACTTAGCTCCACATTTTCGGCTAACTAGCTGCTCTGCTATCATTTGTCACGCCCCGAGCCCGGGAGCCTGTTGGCCCTATATAAGCTCTAGGCCCTCATCGAGTGCAACACAAGGTTTGGTTCAATCCACTGCCAAAATTGACAAGTCAACACTTGACTCCTTGGACTTATATTATAAATCATTCAATTATTCAATCAATATTCAATGTGCGACTAAATCTTCGAGTATTACAGTCGTCGAAGATAAATGCCAATAGATCAGCGGTCAAGAGGACAAATAAGAAGGTAGAGGTGAAAATTGGGAACTAACATTTTTCCAACAAAAAATAACCCGCGACAGGTATGAGATAGAGTAATATAATATTTAGTCTGGATTCTGGGTTTAAGTTATTTGCTTTAGTTTAAGTTTTTAGGTTAGAGTTATAAAGTTATTAGATTTGAGCTTTTGAGTTATTGGATTTGACTTACTAAGTTATTAAGCTCTAAATTATTGGGTTTGAGCTTTTAAGTTGTCCGGTCTGGATTTTTTGTATTCGGGTTTAGAATTTAGGTTATTCAAAGATTAGGTTTATGTTTTTGTTCATAACAGCCGCCTCCTCTGGGTTTTTTTTTTACTTGGAATGGCCACCTGTGGTCACCCAGGAGACCATGTTGACCTGGTGGTGTCCCCTAGGGAAAAATGAAGTAGCCTGGGGCTAGGTCTCACTAGGCGATCACCTAGGCCAACTTTTACAACAATGCTCCAAAATAGCTTATTACTTGCTTGCAAGTTGCACAAAAGCATACTCCCATAAAATTCCAATGGAGGTTTCTAAAATCAGAATTTATATCTTGAAAGAACACAAAATTGTAGTTATGAACAATAGACATTCCAAACAAGATATCATGGCACATGTCGCAAGCATAACATTTTTGAATATTTATATAGGATAATATTAAACCTAAAAAATTAAGACCTCAAGACTTTGGAAAAGAAAATTAACACACTTTCAACTCACCACGAGAACTCATAACCAAACTTTCCCAATAGGCATCTCACAATGCTCATACCCGACTGATGTAATGCAACACTTCCCCATAATTAGAGTGAGAGTCTCATCTACAGATGCAATTGAAGACACCATCAATCATCACATTAGACAGTTGTTATTCATTGGTCATGTATTTGAGGAGAAAGAAAATTCAACACTGACTTGGATGCTCTAACTGATGGAGCCAAGAAAGAAGGATAAGAGATCAGCAATGGGTTGTGTAGCTCTACATGGTGAACAAAGCCATGTCTAGATTTACCACTAGGCCAATAGGTTGATCAAACCAAAAACTAAATTTAGTGCAAGAAATTTTTTTGATCAACTGGATTGTTACAGCCAGCTCTAGACTGTGCACAAGGCTAGCTCTAGATTGTCTACAAGTCATTCGTCAATTAGATAAAAAAAACTGAAATTTTTATATGCAAGAACATTTTTGATCAATTGGATTGTGCAAAATGCCATCTCCAGATTGCCACTAAGCCATTCAATTGATCAAACAAAAAACTGAATTTTCTAAGCAAGAACTAAGAAGTCTATGACCAACTAATGTTTGCTGCATATAGTTTAATGCATGAAACAAATCAGTTAATCAGGTTTAAGAATTAGCACAAATACCTAGATTTGTTCAAAGATAAACAAATCATTAGTTCTTGATGATTGCATCCTAGGGAAGTGTGTGTCCGCCTACGAGGATTGCACCCTTTAAGGCTTGATCGTGATATCTTTTGTTGTAGCCTCTACACTCTCTAACCTCCTCCAAACTCCTTCAACCTCTAACTATGAACACCTACTCTATCTCCTCCAACCTTCTGTAAAACCTCATCCACCACCAGTTAAACGAAAAAAATCAGCCTAGGACGTCAATCCGGTGCCTAAGCTTTTCCTAAAACATTGGCATTTACTATCAATTATAGTAACTAAAACATAGAAAAACCGCCTAAGTTAGGCCCCCGCCTAGGCGCCAAGGCTCTTGGTGACGGGACCAATGCCTAGGCCGCCTAGCGCTTTTTGTAACCTTATTGCATCTGATGTGACATCGCCTTTATGCGCCTTGCAAGTGCCCTGCACTAGGGCGTGTGCAAGAAATTGGATGTTTAATACCCTCAAGACTGGGTAATGAAGAAGAGAGGACAGAAAGTGAGGGAGTTATATATATAAGATTAGAGGAAGGAAGACGTTAGTCATAAAAAGTTAACGAGAGTGGACAAACCACCATGGCTTCATTAAGAGGTGAATAAGTTTCATATGACTCTTTACATTAGTATAAGGGTGTGTTTGGCAACCCACAACCTAACCTGGATAAGTCCTTAACAAGGTTAGGACTGGTTCAAGGAGGAGGTGGTCCAATTCTAACCTTGTTAAGGGGAGAAAAATGAACTTAAAAACTAGGCCAAGTTTGACTGATCAAGTTTTTTGCCAAACATAATTTAATTACTTAACCAGTATCCACTAACTTGGTTATGGAATAGTTGCCAAACACAACCTAAATATTCAAGATAGTCTATGTTTGTTCTTATACACCATGCTCTCGGGCATGTCCCTTGCTACTCTCATTAAATGAGGGATAAGTTTCGCCGAAACATGTACATCTGCTATAAGTTAACATCTCTTAGGTGGAAAATGGTTTCAAACTTTACTAATGTTGCTCTATTTTATCAGAATGTTCCTCGCTACAATGATAATATGTCATGAAATATCTCCCGTTCCCCTTGTCTGAGGAGAAGAAAAATGGAAACCACGATATTTCGCAAGTATCAGCCAATTTCACTTACAAATTTTTAATCTTGGACTGCTTGAGTCGGGCATTGGCGCACAATAGTCCAGAAAAGATACCAAAAATTCACTGAAGAAAGCTAATGAGCAGGCGGCAGAGAAATCAGGGAACCTAACAAAATGCAGCATGTTTGCATGCAAACTGTTTGCGCTTTTGCCTCGCTGGAAGAATACTTGCAGCTAGAAAAAAAATTCAATAATCAAAGTAATTAAGACGTACCTGAACGTTACTGATCCCAACAACAGATCCCAACCTGCAACAAGAATCGAGATCGGCCATTTCAGTGAAGGATTACAGAGAGGAGAGAGATGGGATCGATGGGGAGACAGATAAATTACCGAAATTGTGAAGAAATTTGGAGAATTTTCCGTTCCAGGCAGCGCCATTTTTGGTCGCCATGAGTCCTGAAAGGCTGAAACTCAAACCCCAAGCTTCGCTGCGCAAGGTCTGCGAACACATCGACCCGATCGCCGTCTTCGGGCCCTAAGTAAGTGGGTACGGGCTTGAGAAGTTTTACCCGATAACCTGATAACTGTATAGCGTAGTAAGAGCATATTCATCCTAAAAACCCAAAATGGTGTCGTTTTTACACCAAGTTAGTATAGTTTTTACACCAAATCATTATTCCATCTCCAACCAATTTACACCAAAAAGAATATTCATTTTATTATTCTTATATTTTAACATTTTTATCTATTTAAAATATTTAACAAATTATATAATTATGAAATTTTAAGTGTAAGTTTTTCTTATCTAAATGTAAGTTTTTCTTATTTCTTCATTTGGTTCTAGTATTATGAAATTTTAAGTGTTTGGATTAAATTATCTATTTTTTTCTTTTTGAATTTTATTTTAATAATTATTTTATACTCTAATTTCATTATAATAATTAATATAAAATAATATATATTATTAATACAAATATAAAAAACAAAAGCAAAACAATAAAAAAACTAAATAGAATAAAATGGGAAATATGATGGATAAAATGGGATGTGGTTGGAATATTTGATTTGTTATAACAAACTTTAAGGAGGAAAAAAAATTTTGGGCGGGAGGGGGACTCCATATCTACAGTGTTGCGCCATTCCTGGCGCAACACTGTAGCAGCGCTTTAAAATAGCGCTAACTTTGTCGCTCTGTTGGAGGAAGTTTTGGTGAAAGATTTGCGTCAATTTGGATTTTTGGCGTTGGGATGGAGATGCTCTAAAGGGGCATTTGGCGATGACCTCTTTGTTGATGGCGGAGATATCGGTCCAACGATATCCATCCCCCATGCTTCGAACGGCCATGAAGTCGCTGCCAGATGCAGGTCTTTAGGCGGCCGATGCATGTAATTTGGCATGGATTTGGCACGCGTGCCAACATTTGGCGTAAGCGACTACATCGCTGACCATCCCGGGCCAATAGTAGCCTATCCTCCGCAGGCGATCCCAGAGCTTAGGTTCGGGCTGGTGAGCCCCACAAGTACTATCGTGGGCTTCGCGCAGAGCTTTATGTGATTTTGTCGTCGAGAGACATCGAAGCAGCATGTCATCATACTGTTTGTTGGAAAATTTGCAGTAAAAAGACAATAAAAGAAAAATTGATTTGTATTCTCTCAAAATCGATTACAATTTGGATTCCGATTACAAAAGAGAGGAGAATGAATTTGATTCTCCCCTTTGTTTAATTTTGGGTTCTTCACGGTGGCGATGGAGTGCCTCCTTCGAATGCTCGCGTCAAGTTTGCTCTCCGTTGACGATCCGCACGTCTTGATTCACTGGAACGTGGTCTTCTCCTCATGATTTGACGTTGTGGAGAACTTGCGTGGCAAGTTTGAAAATAACTCTTAACAAGTTAATAACTCAGAGCGAGTTTTAGAAGGACTTGCAGAGCAAGTTTTGAAACTCTGGACAAGTTGATAACTCAGATCGAGTTCAACTCGAGTTTAACTCTGAACGAGTTTGAACTCTTGAAAAAGAGTTGATTTAACCGAAAGTCGGTTATAAGCCAAGGATGAATGCTCCAAGGACTTTGTTGCTGCAGAAAGCTCCAAGATGCCCGATCAAGGATCCCCAAAGAGCCAGCTCCAGCCAGCCGAATATCTCTTCTTTGCTGCCCAAAAAAAAAGAAGGATCCGAACTCAATTGAGTTTCGAGGTATTTATAGGGGATTAATGGGGTGTAACCGCCCCCTTAATTTGCTCCTCAATGGGCTGAGTGGGGTGTAACCCCCCCCCCTTAAACAGCTCCCCAAATCGTGGGGAAAACGGTTTTGAAACCGTTCTGTTAGTGCTTTGAACAAGTCAAAACGCCAATCTGGGCGTTCTGGGCCGAACTCTGTGTTTTAGACTAAAAAACGCAGAGTTGGGCCTATTTTGGGTGGCTGAACGCACAGGCCACGATGCGTTGTGAACTCTGAAACGCAGAGTTGGGACGTTTTAGGCTGAAAACGCACAGGTCGCGCAGCGTTGTGAACTCTGAAACGCAGAGTTGGGACGCAAAGTTGAGCTTGTTGAAGAACGCACGTTATGTGTGCGTTTGTGCTTTAACTCTGCGTCACAGAGTTAGATGTCTGCTGGAGAACGCACAGTCCGTGTGCGTTTTGTGTTTGGGAAACGCAGAGGTGGGTTCTGCATGGACTCTGCGCTTTGAGTCCACGAACTCTGCGTTTGGAATCTGGAACGCAGTCACGACCTCTGCGTTTTGAATCTGGAACGCAGTCTTTTGAGTTTGGAACGCAGCTACGACCTCTGCGTTTTGAGTTTAGAACGCAGCTACGACCTCTGCGTTTTGAGTTTAGAACGCGGGGACGACCTCTGCGTTTTGAATCTGGAACGTAGCCATGACCTCTGCGTTTCGAATATTAGATGCAGAGGTGAGTCTCAGGCGGGCTCGACGAGCTTCAGGCTAAGTCCAATGTTCAGACGAAATCCAGTCTTGCAGACGGACTTTAGAACATGACTTGCTGCGAAGAACAGGTCATAACTTTCAAACCGTAAGTCGGAATTGGACGAATTATATATGAAAATCGGCTATCTTGACGAGACAGAGCCATCCGAACCTAGCCAAAGGCTTTGGTTCGCTTCCTCCATTTTGCCAAATTCCTTACGGTTTGAGAGATATCTGCGTTTTAATATGAAGAGATCGTCAATTTGTAGTCTCTTTTGCTAGAGCGTTGCAAAGATCGTCACCTTGTAACCTTCATCTTGGCTCCTTGAAAATATGAGAGTCATCAGATTGTAACTCCCGATGTTGATTATGAAGGCTGTTGAATTGTCAGATTGTAACCTTCAGCGATCTACGTGAAAGT